CTAAGGAAGTGGGGAGGAAGGACAAGAACTGTGTGCTGTAGGTGTGACCATATTTTTCCTGCATGCACCCCTACTGTCCTAGAAAACATTAAGTAGTAACTGAAAATTGAGCTTGTGAATAGAAGTATTATACACTGTTGTTGATGCGTATCTTTCATCTTTTAGGACAAATCTTATTCAAATCATACTTAATATATGTGATGCATGTGATCATTCAGACTTCCATTACTTTGTAGCCACTTGACTTCAAGTGTGCAATTCTTAGAGCTTTTAGTCCTAGAGTTATGTAATTGTTTGAGAACATGAATCTTCCTTTTAAATAGTAAGAAATTTCTAGCTTTCATTGCTCTGAAAAAAGCTTTAAATGTGAAGCTGTAAATTAAATACTCAAAAGACAAGCAATCCAAAACGTGTCTTTAGAGTGTCATTGTTAATTTAAGAACAGGAATTTATTTATATATATATATATATATATTGGCAATTTTTAAGGCTCTGAAAATTTGTGAGTTAGAAAAAGTAGTTTCATGCTTTTAAAATGAATGATTGATCGGTTGAGAGTCAAATCTCTTTGTTAGTTTCCTATGAAATCATGGTGGCTTTTAGATGCATAGAAAGCAAAAATTTTTCTCCCCAGATATTATTTGCTTAAACTAAGTTACGTATATTTAATTCTGCAGAACAATGGAAATCATAGTTACAAAAGTTACAAAAGTAGATATCTTTCATAATCCAAGTTAGAGCTGCTGATTGACACCAGAATCCTGTTTATGCATCTTTATGTTTTCAGAAGGAACTACAGTTAAAATTAACAGTAAAACTATGTTCTAAATAGAAATTCTGCAGACATTTTTGTTGATTGCTATTGTGGTCCTGCCAGTTGTTTTCTTTTTAAAATGTATTGTGCATTGTTAAACTATTTAATTTTCAAGAAAAAAGAAAAAATCCGTATCTCATCACATTTTTACTTTTGTAGCAACGTTTTTCTTTCTTTAACCTATATACTTTTGTGATAATTTGCTAACATCTTCCGTTTTCTCTTCTTTTTTTTTTATACTTTGTTTACAGATCTCTTAGCAGTGTGTTTAAAGATATCAATCTCTTTGTAGCTTTTCACATACACTCATTGCTACTTTTATGATAACCTTCACTGTTTTGGGGTGGGTTTTATTTTTGTTTTTCTGAAACCTTATTGGTAGTCATAAGCCTCAGGGTTTTGTCTGTTCATCTGACTGCATTTCTTTCTCATTTTTTAACTTTTAATAATAAAAAATGATAAACCAGATTGTCCAGTTATGAGACTTTTGTACTTTATAAGTACTTTGAACTTGTACTTTATAAGACTACATAAATTTTCTTCTGGCCATATTCAAAAGAGGTGGCTTATTGGATGGTTGTGTCATGTAAGCATCTTCTGTGCATTATAATGCATAAAATGGTGCAAAACTATATACAACATGACATCATACCGATACATTTGTGACTTCGAGCAAAAACCGTTAAGCTTAAGGCAAGGTATCTTCTCACTGTACAGGACTTCATTCTGTATAGTTTATTTACAGATATGCTCACACATTCAATTCCTTATTAAGAATTAGGTTGAAATTTTTAGGAAAGCTTTTTTTGAGAGTCATATTGATTTTTTTGAAAAAATATATTCAAAAGGAATATATTGAAGTAACTTTCTCATGTATTTAAGGGTTTAACTAGGAAATGTTAATCTTTATTGCTGGTAAAGTTTATATTTAAATGATCAGTAAAAAAAAATGCCCCCCCCCCCAACAAAAAACAAAAATCCCCAAACCAAAATACTATTGGAAAGTTCTTTCCCTGTATCAAGCATAAATACAAAGCATACAATGTTACAGTATTCTGACCTGCAGAGTCTGGTCATGATCTCTCTTTTGGACTTTCTGCATCAAACTGCAGATGTGATTCACTAGGTAATGGTGTATCTTATTTTAAATACTCAAGTAGTCAGTTCCAAGTGTGACAGCTAGAAGTGTAAAGATTTTTGCATATCTGGATGCAGACTTAGCATTACTGATTTTTTTTCCTTTAGTAATAAAAGAAATGTAATGATCAAAGTCTGTGAAGTATCATGTTATTGTTAGTTTAAGTGAACAGCAAACTGTTAGACTGGTACCTCCAATGCAGTTCTATACCATGTCCTCATTAGAGTGTAAATGTCTTTGATGCAGAAATGGAGTATTTTGTAATTTTCACTTCTCTTGCTCACTCATGTTTGTACACTTAGTGAAGCAATAGCTGGACCTTATATTTAACTACGTTTATTCAGAGATCCTAATATGTTTAGGAAGAGACAAACATCTTTGATATTGGTGATGCTTGTTTAGCAGTTCTGCTAGTGTACAAGCCAGAAACCTTTTTGTTTTGCTGCAGAAACAAAGGTGTTACTATCTCTAAATGGGAACACCCCTCAATAGATTTGAGAAATTAACTTTTAAACTAGTGTTACTTTAGTTGCTATTCTATAGTTCTGGCGTTCTCAACATAAAAAGGACATGAAACTGTTGGAACAAGTCCAGAGGAGGGCCACAAGGATGATCAGGGGATTGGAGCACCTCCCGTATGAAGATAGGCTGAGAAAGTTGGGACTGTTTAGCCTGGAGAAGAGAAGGCTGCATGGAGACCTCATAGCAGCCTTCCAGCATCTGAAGGGGGCCTATAAGGATGCCAGAGAGGAACTCTTCATTAGGGACTGTAGTGATAGGACAAGGGGTAATGGGTTACAACTTAAACAGGGGATGTTTAGATTGGATATAAGGAGGAAGTTCTTTACTGTTAGGGTGGTGAGGCAGTGGAATGGGTTGCCCAGGGAAGTTTTGAATGCTCCATCCCTGGCAGTGTTCAAGGCCAGGTTGGACAGAGCCTTGGGTGATACTGTTCAGTGTGAGTTGTCTCTGCAACAAGTGCTCATGGCAGGGGGGTTGGAACTAGATGATATTAAGGTCCTTTCCAACTGTCCTGCGTTCAGCAGTAGCAGTCATTTTTCTCTTTGTTAGTAGCTGGTGCAGTGCTGTGTTTTTTACTTTAGGCCTAGAAACAGTGCTGGTAACATCTATGTTTTCAGTTGTCCCTAAGTCATGTTTACTCTGACCAAGGATTTTCTGAGTCTCGTGCTCTGCCAAGGAGGAGGAGAAGCCAGGAGAAAGCAGAGACAGGACACCTGACCCAAACTAGCCAAAGAGGTATTCCATACCACAGCATGTCATGCCCAGGATGTAAAACTGGGGCAGTTACCCGAAAAGGCTGGATCACTGCTCGGTTGGGCAGGGTGTCAGTCAGTGGGTGGTGAGCGGTTGTATTCTCTTCCCTTGTTTTTTCCCTTACCATTACTATTATTGGTGGTAGCAGCAGTGGTTTGTGCTATACCTGAGTTACCGGACTGTTCTCAACCCGTGGGAGTTACATTTTTCGATTCTACTCCCCAACCCTCAGGGAGCGGGGCTGGGGAGGGATGGGGGGGGAAGTGAGAGGGAGACTGCGTGATCTGATTTACGGCTGGGTTTAAATCATGACACCAACCCTAACTATTCTGTGATTTATTCTATATAATCATTGTGAGAGAGGGATGTGAAGTGTCTTTCCTGGGGGTGCATTTCTGGCTTCCAATTTGACAAACTATCATTTTAATGCATCTAGTAATCAATTTATCTTTTATTGTAATATTGAGCATGTTAAAAAGTCATCCATAGATTTAGAATGCTAAACAAAATTTAACTTCTACAAATTCTGTTCAAGGGAGAGTAGTCACTGATGGTTTGGAATCCTTGAAAAATGACAATGCCTTATTTTATTAATGTTTTATTTCCTGTTTAATACACATTTAAATGTTGAAATTATCAAAGAAATATCTCAGTTGATTTATTAAGTAGTCTCAAGTCATTGAAATGTGTGGTTTTTTTTGTAACAATCTATATAGGAGTTTTAAGATGAGTAGGTGAAAATTCTTCATGTGGTTTTGCTAGTGTTTTAGCATCTGAACTACTTAGTTTCTCTTGATCACTTGTTAATGAGCCACAGTGACATACGTCTTGGCCTACTGAGCTGGTATCACTTGAGTAATTAAGGTGATGTTAGATGCCCACAGTTGAGCCTCCCTTATGTTTCTACATGGTTTTTAAGGGCTGGATTTTTGTTAGCTTAAGAACAATTGGGCAGATGATAGCAAAAAAAAAAAAAAAGGCAGTGTGGTTCAGGCCAAACTGAATTTACATAGGAATATTTGCCTAGTGACTCTGCACACCAGTCCACAAGTAACAAAGAGGTCCACCAACCAGTAAAGAAGTACTGTTCTCTTATCTTTTGGGAGGCCTGACCATTGAGGACGTCCAGGACATCCGTAATCAGGCTTGTATGTCTGGAACTGGCACACTCAGCACCTTAATCTTCTGACACCTGCTGCTCCTTTCAGCAAGGAAGCATGGGAAATAGGCAAAACCACTTTTCTGTAAGACTCTGCTGTTTCTTGCATTATTAATCACTTTTTTGCAGAAGCAAAAAATTCCCCACATTCCTTCACATAAATCCAGTTATTGCATACCAATTAATGTCAATGTCAGTCTGTCCTGACCTAAACCATGCCATTAATAAAAAGCTGGTGTCAGATGCAGGATTTTAAGGAGGTTTTGGATTATGAAAAGACAATTGTACAGTGTCCTGCTGTCCAAAGGTCTCCATGGTGCCATGACCACTTACAGCTGCTGAGATGGTGCTCTGGGAGAGGACCTAGTGGTATGGCAGGAATCATATCCAGTATTGTGTAAGGTGTGCTTAATAGTGTATGTAGTGTATGTCAACTCACATGTGTAACACTGGCTGCTATTCAGTATGATGTGTCAATATTAGATGTAGGATAACACTAGCTCCTACTTGATACAGTGTTTTAATAGTGTAGATAAGATCATCTTGAAATATGTAAACCAGTAACAACTAGAATTAAAGCTTTTGTTTTCCCCCTCTTTTCTGTTGTCCTTCAGCAACTCCCAGTATATAGTGGATATAGCAAATCTTCTTTACGCTGGCTGGGGCATCTGTGGTTCCTGGACTGTGGAGAAGGAGGAGCAGTGTCTGCTCCTTAAGGAGCAGTTTGAGGAAATAGGAGTCAAGGCTGTATGGCTGTGCTCTGAGTAGTAGTATCTTTTTTCTTCTCTGGCATCCATGTGAAGAGGTTGTTTCTCTATGCAGATTCTGCTAGACTGGGAGAAGGATTGAAAAGTCACAAAACCCATTAAAAATATGAGAAACTAAAACCACATGACCCTTAAATGGTGATTTAAAGACTGATTATAAACGAGTAGAGGAAAACCAAACAACTTGATGATTAAATGCTGAGATGTGTGTACCAGTAGTTTAAAGGTGTATAACTGGGCATAGTGGCTGGGGTCTATATACAATGACAGAACTGTGGATAATCAAGGAGTTGGCCACCTTGGGAACATGAATCCAAGAAGCAAGAAAGACATTGTCAGGCCTCTAAGTGCACTGAGAGATCTTAATGACCCTGGGGCCTCCACCCACACCTGCTGTCCATGGGCTCTGTTTCAGGCCTAGGCCTTCAGTCACTGCCCAGGCTATGTTGTATGCATGCCTGTCTGCAGCTCCATCACAGCCGTGCTTATGGCTAGCTGAGAACCTTGTTCATCCAGACCCTGACCCACAGAATGACTTGCACCTTGTCCTGGGTCCTGCCTTGCGCACTGGACTGTATCTAGTGCTGCTTACTCTTACTGCACCTGATTTTGACTTCCCAGCTTGACTGTGAACTTGCCTTGCCACTATGGACTTGCTGAAGGATGTGGACTCTCAGTGGAACCTGGCACTTGCTCTTCTTATCTCACCTGTATACCATGGGATAGGCACTGATTTGCTGGCTTCAATTACTGTTCTCTGCTCCTGGCTCCTCATTCTTTGTGGGGGAGCTGGTCCTTGTCATTCTGACACAAAGCTGTTAAGCCACAACAGGCTGAGGAAGGCCTCACACTATCAGTCCTGCCAGCATAAGATTTCTCCTACACCTCTGTCCAAGAAGTGGCTTTGGTGAGGTTCTGCCCACAGCCAGCTGAGGATGGTGATGTTACATGCAATAATGGAATTTACTGACTGGTGGTCTGGCACACATGCACCAAGAAAACACCAAGCCTTAGTGGACACAGAGGTTTAATGCACCTTGTTCCCTTTTACACTGAGTGGAAAGGTACAATTCATCATCAAGAGTCACCAGGGGCCACTGGAAGGTCTGTGTGGTAGAAGCCAAACTCGGTCTTACTAAAAGAAACTGGAAGCACCACAACATGTGTGTCCTGGGTTCAGCAGTCATTTTTTCTGCTTCTTAGTAGCTGGTGCAGTGCTGTGTTTTTGACTTTCAGCCTTGGAACAGCGCTGATAACACCGATGTTTTTAGTTGCTGCTTAGTAATGTCTAGTCTGGCCAAGGACTTTCTGAGCCTCATCCTCTGGCAGGGAGGCGGGGAAGCCGGGAGGAAGCAGAGTCAGGACACCTGACCAAAACTAACTAAAGAGGTATTCCATACCACAGCATGTCATGCCCACTATATAAACTGGGGCAGTTACCCAGTTAGATCACTGCTCGGTTGAGCTGGGTATTGGTCAGTGGGTGGTGAGCAGTTGTATTCTCTTCCTTTGTTATTTCCCTTATCACTATTATTATTGGTGGCAGCAGTAGTGGTTACTGGACTGCTCTTATCTCAACTCATGGGAGTTACATTCTTTCGAATTTCCTCCCTATCCCTCCGAGGGGGGGGGGGCCCCCCCCCAAGCAAGAGAGAGTCTGCGTGGTTCTGATTTACGGCTGGGCTTAAACCATGACAATGTAGATGGGATCTGGTGTCCCTTTCGTCTTGGGCTTTGCCATTTTAAGGAATAGAGATACTGAGAACTCCTACAGACATCTGTGGGCATTTGGTGTAGCAGCTGTGGATGTGAGGGAGAGCACCACTTTGCTGTGTTAGTTGTCTGTAACTGCAGGAGTAGGGTAGGTAGCAGGACTCCATTAGAGCCAGCTGCAATGCAGTGCACAGACAAGAATATAAACCTAACAGGTATGTTGGTGTGTTGCATAAGATAATTGGGCTGTCCCATGAATTATCTTATTGTAGAAGTAGAATATCAGTGAATAGTTACTTGCACCTGTTCACCCTTAGTAGCCATCTCTGGACAGTGCAGTCCCAACAGGGATTTGGATTTAACCATGGATTATAGAGATCTGAATAAGGCAGCAGCACCCTTGAGTGCTGCAATATCATTATGCTAGAACTACAATATAACTCAAAGAAAAAAAAAAAGTGCTGCCTGGTATTTGACCATTGGCACAGTTAGTGTGTTTTTATTGATTGCTGTGGACCCTGATTGTAAACTGCAGTTTGCCTTTCCTGGAGGGGAGCACAACAGACCTGGGACCACCTACTGTGGGGATGGAAGCATAGTTCCAGCATCTGTCACAGACTTAACGCAAATGGTTTGGAGGAGTACAGTGACCCAGATCACATGGAGTATGCTGATGGCATCCTAGTTTAGGGAATCACTGCCCAATTGGTGGATAACAAGGATAACTGAAATTTGACTGAATATGAGACTTGCAATCAAAGAGGAATGAAGTGGAGGAGCTTGCAGGACTAGAAATACAGTTTCTGTGTATCAAATAGCGATGTGGACACCACTGTCTTCATACTCACATGATTTATAAGATTGTGGCAATGGTTCTACCGATAATGTAAAAGAGCAGAGTAGAGAGGCAGGATCACCTCCTTTGACCTGCTGGTCACGCTCCTTTTGATGCAGCCCAGGATACTGTTGGCTTTCTGGGCTGCGGGTGCACACTGCTGGCTCATGTTCATTTTCTTATCGAACTACATGTACATCTACTATACACAACTAGCAGGAGACCAGTCAAACCAGCCGAGTTCATGGCAGAAAGCACACTGTGGCAGAGAGACAGAGGTGTTCCTTGGATTCCGAAGCCAAGGCTGCTGCCCACCTCAGAAAACTATACCCTAACAGAAAAAGAAGAATGAACCATCTATGTGTGAGTCTGGGCAGCATCTGTAGTGGTGGAGAATGGAGTCGTGACTGCTGCTTGCCCTTTGGTTTCCGGTACTGGACACTGAAAGGAAAAATGCCTTCAACCCATCATCTAGTAAGTTCTACCTGCACTGATGGACAGCCCTGCTTACCCAGTGGGATCAGATGGCTGAACAGGGACATCCAGGCCTTATACAAGTACTGATAAAATGGCCCATATATCATCATCCAATAATAATGCAGGGTACTACCCCATGCTCAGAAAACTGGTATATGACAAGCTTTATGCCTTCTGCAGAGGTGGTTCTTGTCACATTATTGGTGGTTCAAGGTGAAATGTGCTCTTTGGAGTCCTGTTCAGTAGGTGGTAGAAATGCATGAAGCTGAAGGATGATCAGATCAATTCTTGGAAGTCCTAGCCACAAGACTGTCCACTGATGTAATGTTACAGAGGAAGTGGCTCAGGTTATACCTGTGTACTGATGTTTGGATGGTTGCCATTGCCCTTTTGGTGTGCCATTGCCCTTATGAGAATAATGACAATACTGTGGGAAGGACCATTTTTAAATGGCAAACCCTCAGCCCCTGACTCAGAGGATATAACCAAAGCATTTTACAAGGGCATTCAGTGATAGGACGAGGAGGAACAGCTTTAAACGGACAGAGGGGAGATTTAGATTAGATATAAGGAATAAACTCTTCACTGTGAGGGTGATGAGAAAATTTGTTTCCTTCGCAATGATGACTTGTACCACACAAAGAAAATCAACATCTAAGTGAACATCTAAAATTAGTTTCTTTTTACACTATTGGTGGAACCATTGCCACAATCTTATTAATCATGTCAGTATGAAGACGGCGGTGTCCACATTGCTATTTGACACACAGAAACTGTATTTCTAGTCCTGCACAAGTTGCCCAGTGAAGTCATGGCTGCACCATTCCTGGAAGCGTTCAAGGCCAGGTTGGATGGGGCTTTGAGCAACCTGGTCTAGTGGAAGGTGTCCTTGCCTTGTGGCGGGGGCTTGGAACTGGATATCTTTAAGGTCCCTTCCAACCCAAACCATTCTATGATTCTATCTTGTAAGTAGATAAAATCTTGTCTGTAAACATTTTCTGACCTTTTGTTTATCCCCTTTTCCTCTGGTCCTGCAACGTGTTTCACAAGGTCAGAACCAATAAGGAACGCATAAGGAATGCATGTTCCAGAAGCATAAAAGTTTGTTACTTGGAGCTTAGTTTGTACATTAATATAACCTTATTCTGCAGGCTAACTGCTATGAAATTTGGGACCGCATTCTGGAAGTCAGTGAATTCTGCAGTGAATTTTGTTGTAGGCATATGTTACTTGATTACTGGTATTAGTGTCCCCCTAAAGGGAAGTTTGATTAAAACAATTCACCTGTGCACAGGATAAAAGTATTTTAAGGACAAATGTAATTTCTACTTCTTCCTTTACTTAGATGTTGATTTTCATTGTGTGGTACAAATCATCACTGTCAGGGATACACAATACTAACACAGTTACTGGACTGTTTAGTATATTCATATCTCTGATGTTTGATCTTGCTTTTGAATATGTATCATGTGGCCTTTTCTATTTCAGTTGACTTGTGTTTGTGTGCATGTATGTTTGTGTGGTTCTGGGAGAATATTTTCAGAAAATAATCCTGTATGCTTCTTTTCTTCTTAGTGTTTCCTGGGCATCACTGGTCAGAGGTATTAGATTTCATTTTTTTTTTTTTTTTTTTTTTTGGACTGACCTAATATAAACATTCTCGTATTTTCATCTCATATTTTCAGTTTATATAGGAATTGGAATACTGATAAAGTGACCAAATATTTCAAATTTTAAACACTTCTTGGTTATACAGACAAAAAGACTCTTGCATTCCTCCTGGCCATGTTGCTTAATGAAAACTCCTGGTATTTATACCTGACTTAAATTTAGTTGCCTTTTTATTTTAGGAAGAATGGAAGAATAAAATGGAAGAATAAAATTCTTAGAATGTGTGGAAAGTAGAGAAGGGAAATGCCTAGGTTATATTTAGGGCATGGGGCTGAGGTCCTTTTGGAATTTATGTTTTCACTTTTTCTGTTATTGTAGTTGGTGAATACTGTTTATAGTAGAAAAAATGTTCAGTTAAATATAACCTGAATTCTTCAAATAACAAGTACCTGGATTTCTGGTTTCTGCTACTATAATGAGGGGTAAACATGAGTATTAAGGGGCAATAATGGAACTGACTGCATGCAAAATGTTGAAAATGCTTAAAATATGACTTCAGGGCTTTTATTGTCAGAGCTACATTTCTTTACCTACTCCTTATGTATAGAATTAGAGTACTTGTTTTAAGTTTGATACTGCCTAATCGACTTTTAGTCAAAGTCTGCTGAAGTTTTATGCCTTGTATGTTGCATCCAAAGACAGGGAGTTGGCTTTGGACTAGAATTACACTTTTATGTAGTGGTTAGACTTTCTATTTCTAGAACATCTGTTCTATTGTGGCAAGGCAAATATGTAAAAATGGGGAGATGGTGACCTGCTTTGCCAGCCTGCTGTGGATATGGAAGTTGGTGTTATGGATGCTTGCCTTTATGGATAACCTGAAAGTATGCAAGAACAGTTGGATTCTTCTTTGTCTCCTTGCATTTTTAAGATGTCTCTAATGCAGTTAGCATTTATGTAGTTTTAAAAATAATTTTTTGTTTGTTTTTTATATTTAAACTGCTGCATCAATCTTAAATAACAGTTTATATTGCTAAAAAGAGGAATAGGTGTAAAGACAATATCACAAATGTGTGTAATCAATTTTATTATTGACCATTTTTTCCAGCTGTTTTATAAAAAAAAAGGTGATGTGATTCCATGAGTCCATCATCTACATTGCAAAAGTTAAGATGGGATGACTGGACAGTTGCTAGAATTAATTTTTATGCACTTCTTGAAATTGTTGGATTTTAAATTCTTCTAAATACTCAATGTAGCATATTAGGCTGTTTTGGAGTCTTTATTGTATTTCCCACTTCAGTATGGCATCTGCCTCAGGAATTTATTCAAGTTATTTTTGTGTCATAGAAACTTTTCATAGAAACTTTTTCCTAATCACAATTAGGAAAGATGATTTAATTCATGTGACAGTATATACTACTGCAGCTTTTCTAATTGTTGTTCTAAAAAGAACAATCTTTTCATTAATGAAATCAACAAGGCTAAAATTTGATTAATTCTTTTCTTTTCACTTTGTAATTACTGTTGCATGACTGAAAGTGTACAGTGTCTTGTTACCAGCATAGCAGGGAGCTTCAGTAGTTGATAACGGAATATAGCAAGCAATGTTGGTAACAGAGCTACTAACCATTCAAGCCTGCGGGAAAGCAGCTATCTGTGAGAGAACAATGTGGTTCTGAAATGACTGACAATCAGCCTGCCCAAGCCAATGTGTTTGCGAGGGATCTTTGCAGCAGAGGAAAAGAGGCTTAGCCTGACTGTGATAATTGCCTATAATTTCCTTATGTTTCAGCTTATTGAAATGGAACTTTTTCTTTGTAAGGTCACTTTATTTTTAATACATTTTTAATACAAATATATTGTTTTGATGTTACCCTTATTTTACCTACACTTTCTTTGAAATCTTTTTATTTTGTCATGAGGGGCATTGCATTCTGCATTAAATCCTCATTTTGGAAGTAGGAGTTGCATCTCTGCAAACATGGTTTGTGGAAGAAAAAAATAAAAGAATATAACAAGTATTTGTAGAGCTTACTGCAGAAGTAGAAGGTAATGGAAATTTTCACTCTTTTGACCCTTAGATTTATTCTTTTTCTACAATCATGTACTATAAAAATTAATAAGGTATGCATTAGAACAGTTAATTTACATTTAACAATTTTTCACTGCTTTAGCTTGATATTGTGATGTTTCAGAGTGTGTCTTTTTTGGAACAGTAATTAGTTTGTTGCCATGTAGAATCTCGTAGAAAAATACACAAAACTTTGATTTATATGCAGGAAGAAGGGTGGTTTTGAAAGAATTATTTTCCCATAATATTGGGCCCCCTGTTTTGTTGTTCTAGCTATGTCACAGTAAAAAAACCCCATGATCATTTTCTTTTGTTGACTTAGAAGTAATAGTCTAGAAAGGCGATTAGCTATATTCTAGGAAAACAATGTATTTTAGATTGAACATGGGATAGTATCAAGGAAACTTGTTGGTAATTAGTTAAACTGTACTGAAGAATTTGTGACTATCAAGGAAGAGAGGAGGAAAACACTGCAGTTAGAAGTTGGGTGAAAAAGATGGTCTTAATTACATGCAGCCTTTTTAAAAATGAAAAGGCAGTTCATAGGATTTGAGGGTTTCCAGAAATAATGCTGAATAAATACTTGCCATAGTTCTGACAAATGGACATGTTCTGATGAATACCAAACTGTACATGACTTGAAAAGACTTTGGAAACCTAGAGTTGTTGACTTTCAGATATTTGTTACATGTATTTGCTATGAGTGCAGTATTTTTTTTACGCAGTACTTTTTAACTTGAATTGCAGAATCACTAACAGGTATTACTATCAGAAATTTAAAATCACAGAAGAGCTTAAGTAGTTTCAGAAAAGGCATCTGTTGCTGTAGTCTGAAATTGTGTAATATGCCTTATTTATTCAGGGAAATTGACCATGGTAGATACAGAAGAATTATTAATTTAATTAACCTATCATTGAGTGCTACACTTTGTAGAGGGCCCTTACTGGAGTGGTTACTGAGCACTATAAATTTTACCTGTCTTTAAAGAAATGTCCAAAATCAAATTATGCTTTCTAAGCAACTGTTTATAATTTCCACAAGCAGTATTATTACTGAATGAAACTATAGTAGTGGGGTGGCCTAAAAGAGATTAATACTTCTTGAGAAGGTTACATACATTTTCTTTTGGAATATGCTAGAACTTGATCTGAGAAAGCTAAATTGTCTTTCAGATTATGGTTGATTTATAGACTTTCTGTAGTATCTGTGATAATAAGTTCTGCTCTTTGCAATTTGTTTTTGAGATACGTCTGCTCATCAAGGTGTTCTATTGTAAATCCTTGCAGTTAGTTAATATTTTCTGTGGTATCCTCCAAGAATTTTGGCCAGAAATCAGTATCAAATCTATCAGGTGCATTTTCATGTTCCAAACCTACAAAGCGATCAGTGCTGTAAATTACTGATGCTGGCAGTGAAATTTAAGTTGAAAACAAATTTTTTCTTTGTAAATTATAAATTTCATGACATACGTGTGTGTAACAGTTCCTAATTTATGTATTTTTCTCATTTGTAGACTAGTACCTAGACAACTTAGACTAATTTGTAAAAATCTTGCACATTTTACTTCCTTCTGCGAAAACATTAACTACATAGCTCTTCAAAGTAGTAGATTCTGGTTTCTGTACTAAGATACTTATTTGAATCCTGAGTTGAATCAATTAAGACAAGTTTTAAAAACAGGAGAGGTTGGATTTTCTTTTTTTTTTCCTTAAGAAGTCTGTTGTGGTTTTGGTTGGGTTTTGTTGTTGTTGTTGTTGTGGTAACCATTTAATTGACAAACTTTAAAGAGATCGGTTTAAAATGTGACCATCCAAAGAAGCATTTCTTGGTATGTATAATGTATGGTGTACTCTTTGCTCAGCTTAATAGGCTGCTCTTTATATTAGCCTATATTTTTACTGCAAATGGATTTAACTGGTGGCAACTGAAAAGAATGAGAATTGGAAATTCTTTAAAGCATATTGTTTATATTCTTTATTTCTTTTTATGTAGCAATAGTAACCACAAATACTGTCTATGCTGCTGCCAGAGAGGAATGAACACTGTCATGCTTTCCTCTATCCTACACTAACACCTGTGCTGCTTTATGAGCAGCTAAATATGGCTGGAAAGGTTTTTTACCACCCTAAACTGGTCACAGCCTTCTGTTGTTAATGACCTTCCCTACACTGGGGTAGCAGCCTGAACACATGGTTATGAATGAAAAGAACTAAACTGGCTCCCTTAAGCACAGACAACTGATAAACCAGTCTTCTGTGAGGGGTAGTTCCATAGCCAATACAAGGCAAAATGATGGCTTGCTGCTGCTAAAGGATGCTTTCTTAGTCCTGTTTCCTTCAAGTATCTCTACCCCTTTCTTCACACCGGATTCTGGCACTTTTCAACCCCTCTTTTAGCTGATTAGCTGACATAACTCAGCATAGAGTGCTGCCAGGTTGGAGGACTGAGTCATCTCTTATAAAATCTCTTAGGGACCAGAACTGGTGCAGGATAAACAGCTCATGATCATGAGCTGGTGGGAATACTGGGGCAAGGATGATGGGAACTTCTACTTCCACCAAAGTCCTAGGTGGAAGGACTAAGGTCCTACCTACAGGGGACCTTAATCTCAGTTTTTTAATGAAAATGCTCTTACAGAAGAGTGTGGTGAAAGTTTCAGGAACCTTAACTGCCTTTTAGAGGTGTTGTGTTATTTCGTTTCTTCTTGGCATTTTGGAGGACTTTTAGATGCTCAGCTGGCCATACAGTAGCAGTCTTAAAGAGTAAAAAGATTCAACTGGCATCTAGGCACTGATTTTTGAATGAAGAACTTGTATTTCTCGAGCTATTTTCTGTTAGCGCCTCAAATTGTCAGCATTCCTAAAGCATACACTTAAGATTTTCAGTATTTTTAAAAAAAGATATGATCCACCATCAAGTTCTTAGGACAAAAATTATGTTTTAACAAAAGTGCCATAGGTATATTTAAACATGTCTTCAATTAGTTTTCCTCAAGGTCCACTGTGTCCAGTCACAAATGCTGACTTTATGTGTGTGGTTGTGTGTTTACTTACATCTAGAAGCAGCGTTGTACTGCGGACGCAGAGCTGGCAGCCAGCTCATTTCTTTTCGTGTTTGCTATTCTTTTAAAATGTCAACTGTAGTATAGTAAATATTAACAGAAGTAAGAAGTGTAACACAGCTGAACTTCCTAACTTCTTGAGAGAGAAAGAAAATTTGTGTGGTTGGTACATTTTCCTGAAAAGTGAGTTCACAGCATTGGTTGATAATGTGTATAGAAAGAGGACATTTTGAGGAAGAATAAATTACAGGATTTTTTGCACTTTTATGTCAAGCTCTTTCTCTATAACAACTTTTACTAGTAATCTTGCATTTTGTTTTTTAGTGTGGACCTGACGAGCTTCTTCCTTCGGGTGTCAGTAACAGGCCTTCTACCATGAGCAATCCTACTCAAGCTGCGGGTATACATAAGAAAAGATTTCTATCACAGTTCATGAACAGTGTGTATTTTTCTCTGTAAATTATTTAGTTTTATTTTCTTTGGGGGGTGAGGGTAGGAAGAGGGGGTGTGTGTGTGTGTTCTTTGTGGTCACCATGAGCATCCTCGCCAAGCCTGAATTGTAACCTGACTCCAGCAACCTATTGGAGTCTAGCCAACCTAATGAAAATACTGAGGAGCTCTGAAGTCAGTTGTCCTTTTTGGCTGACTGCCTGATCTGAAAACTCCTGTAACTCTCAGTGAAGATGTAAAGAGAAAATGTTGAGCTTGCCACTCAGCTCCATCTCATTGCTTCTGATAATGAGTCAGAACCCAGAAAATACTGCTTCTGCAAGAGCCTTTCACCTTAAACTAAAGGCAAAGTTCCTGTTAGGTTTAATTTCCTGCTTTCTTTGGTCAAGGAGTCCTCAACATAGTAAAGTCAAGGATATCTTGTCCTTTTGAACCTGAAAAGTAGATTTAATAAGACAGGATAGGTTATATGGGTTGTAGGGCTTTAATGGTATTATACCCTGTTGTATCTTGGTACTGATATGAGTTTAATATGGGTTTGTTTGTCTTAAAGTCTCAGCCCCAACAAGAATGCCACACGTTTATATTTTTCAGAATGCACATGATGCCATTTATAATTTCTTGCTGGAAAAATAAATGCATATCAGACTTTTCTGTTTGCCAGGTGGGGGAATTACTTAACTTGGCTTCTGAGTGTGGCATGGTTGAGACTAGTAAAAATGTCCTCTCTAAAGGTCCTTATACAGAATTACTTGTGTGAACTGTTTCTCAGCCTTAGACTGTACTCAAAACCTACAGCAAAATATGAAATTACTTGCTAAGCCAAAACAGGTATTTTTTCTTAATCTTTTCTGATACTCCTTGGAAGGCTAAATGTAGCACATGGGGTGTAAAGGCTGTCTTGATGGAGTGAAGCTGTTTGTGGCACATAAGTGAAAAAAAAAAAGCAAACAATGTGTCTTCCTTTAAGTAGTATGCAGTTAGACCTGAGTACAATTTCCATCAAATAGACTGTCTTTAAATCAGTTTAGAATTTTTTTTTCATCAAGTGTCATAAGCCTCTATAGCTTACTGTAGGACAGTATCTTACTGGGATCTGTAGCTTGGCTAATGAATTTCATTTTTACTACTTTTAAGTTATTACTCCATTGTGATAGCATTTAGAGCTATATGCCTGTTCTACATGTGGTGTTTTCTTAAAAGTGCTCTCAAGGACTGCAAGTCATCTCCTTGAAATGTAACCAATGGTCACTTACCTCTTAGAGGATGCAAACAGACATATGTTAAAAAAAAAAAAAAGAAAAAAAAAAGAAAAAAAGCATTTTGCTAAAGTGGAAAAGTTTAGAATCTGCATGGATTTCATGCCTTACTGCTGTCTATCCTTTCCAGAGACTTTTTAAAATTCACAATCATGTGGGACAGCAGGCTTTTTTAAATAATAATAAAAAAATAGTAATTGAGGTAACAGCTGAATCGACACCATGCAGGAATATCAGTTAGTAATAACTTAAAAAAAACCCCACAAAACCTCCCAATTACTACTTTCCCCTCTTCCATGTAATTAACATTTTGTAAATATGTTAGATGGGCATTTGGGAAGAAGTTACTAGCCTCTCTACCTGTAAGACTTGAAAAAAAACCACCAAAAAACAAACCCCAAAACCTCCCCTGAGCCCCCAAGAAAACAACCAAAACTAAACCAAAGCAAAACACACACTCCACTTGTAGTGGAGGTTTGGAACAAATAATAGGAGTCTTCTTAAACTGTCCTTTGGTTATACATGAACTTTCTTAGGATTCAGAGAGCTATAAGTGAGCTAACGTCAATGCTGACACAGCAGTTAATCTTTTTTTAGGTTTTGGTACTTAATGTTGTGTAATAAGTTTGCCTTGTTTGCTTGTCCATTCCCCTGCCTAAAATATTTTAGATACTGAGAATGACAAGAAGAAATTCAAAGCAGACAGACCACCATGCTCCCCTTCACGTGTCCTTCATATTCGTCAAATTCCAAGTGATGCTACTGAAGCAGAAGTCATTTCATTAGCTATCCCTTTTGGCAAAGTAACAAACTTCTTGAGGCTAAAAGAAAAATGTCAGGTATGTAATTTTCAGTGTTTCTATTATAACAGCAAGACTGGGGATGTAGTTCATGTTATGACCCTTTTGATACTGCATTTGGCTGCAATGATTGCAACAATATCTAGACATTTCATTGATAGCTCAAGATTCTAACAATTTTCAAAGTTGAAAAAATGTACTGATACTTATATTAATTTTTAATACACTTGGATTAAATAATGATCTAGTAACTTGTTAGTAATATTGCTAAATATTATATCCACCTTGTGTTAAGTATATATAGATGATAAGGAACTATGCTGTTACTATTGAAGTCAACATAAGTCTTGAAATAACCCACCTGATTAAATAACTAACATGCATGTTAACTTTTTAATCTGAAATAAATTGCCTAGGGTTTTTTATTTTGTTTTTTTCCTCTTAGATACAGTAGGGTAGTTCACATTATGAATAAACACTGAAATGCTAAATTAATAGGCACTAATAAAAAAACTGTCTGCAGCAGTGAGCTGGATTAATATGCACAAACTGATGTTTAGTGTCTTGTTCCTACTTTATCAATCAATATGTGTATCTGCTACTTAGGTAGTAGTGCTTGCATTCAGGAATCTAATAAATTCATTAGCAGTGTGGTATTTTTAGCTGCATTGCTTCCCATATGTCATACTTGTCTTTAATGACAAGTACTTACTTTACTGTACTTACAATGTAAAACCTTTTAAGAAAACCCACAGATCAAATATCCCCTTAAACATGTATTTTAATGCTGAACAAATCAATACTGTGCATTCACATGATCATTTTCTAGTGAGAGTAGAATTGGGAATATGGTACTTTGATGCTTTGTTCTCTCCTGTAAACAACACAACACTGAAAAGCGCAATGTATTGGTTGCAGGCATTATTGGAAATGGATTCTGAAGAAGCTGCTGCTGCCGTGGTGAACCACTGTAATTATTCTGTACCTCATCTCCACAGCCAGCCTGTTTATATTCAATATTCCAAGCACAGAGAACTTAAGACTAACAGTTCATTGTATCAGGCTGTAAGTATAGTATTTCCATTTACCAGTATAGAATCGCGTATGAGTTGTATACTGGTTTCGGCTAGGATAGTTAATTTACTTCATAGTAGCTTGTGATGCTTACATAATATCAAGGCCTTTTCTGCTTTTCACACTGCCCTGCCAGCAAATGCACAAGAAGTTGGGTCAGCCCCCACAGCTGACCCCAGCTGACCCAAGGAATATTCTGTACCATATGACATTGTGCTCAGCAATGAAAGCTGGGGAAAGGAGGAGGAAGTTGGGAATTTTGGAGTTACAATGTTTTTCTTACCAAGTAAATGTTACACGTGATATCCTACTTTGCAGGAAATGTCTAAACACCTGCCTGCCGGTGGTTAGTAAAAGAATCCCTTATTTTGCCTTGCTTGCACATGCAGCTTTTGCTTTACCTATTGAATTGTCCTTATGTCAGTCCATTAATTTTCTCAGTTCTACCCTTTTTATTCTCTCCCCCACACTGCTGGGGTGAAGTAACCAGGCAGCTGTGTGGTACTTAGCTGCCTATCAGTGTTAAACCGCAACTTTAGTAAATAAATGGAACACTTTCCACTACACCAACAGTCAAATTCTAATAGATAGTATTTCCGTCTCTTGTTATCCAAGTAGTAACTTTTTTCCGATAGGGAGTTCTCTGTCTGTGAAATTACTGTGAAGGAGCTTAAGCTCAAGCATCATTCATCCTGATGTGGAGAAAATCAAGTGAAGGTGGCAGGAAGACTGCTTGTATGAACAAGTAGCTCCTGACTGAACTCAGACGTAAAAAAGAGGCAGATAGAATCATGGACAGGTGATTGTATCTGTCCATACAATACAGAGGACATTATATTGTCCTCTGGAGGAGTAATATAGAGAGCATTATCTGAATATGCAGGAATGTGGTTAGAAAATTCTAAGATACATGGAGTTGGCTCCAGGAGGACTGTGAATGCAGCAAGAATGGCCCCTCAAAGTGAATCAGCAGCAGGTGGAAGATTTAGGGAATGGGGAGCCTGCTGCTGAATGGGGGAAGGAGCCCTGCTTACAAAGTAAATGAAAAAGGCTGAAGTACTGAATGCTTTCTTCTAAGACTTTAGTGGTTAAAACTTGCCCTTCAGAATAACAAGCCACTGACGACATTCTGAAGGTCTTCATGAAGGAAGTAGAAAAGAATCTTGCTAGGGAACATTTAAGCAAACTGACTAAACAAAAGTCTGTGGCCCTGGTGAGATGCACTTATGAGTACTGAGGGAGCTGGCTGCTGTCATTGCAAAGCCACTCTTACAGTCTTGGAAAGGTCATGGCAATTGTAGAAGGCTCCTGAGGCCTGGAAGAAAACAAATCTCTTTCCTATCTTAAAGAAGGACAAGGAGGATCCAGGGAAACATTGGCTGATCAGCCTTACCTAGGTGCCTGGAAGGGGAATGGAGGAACTAATCCTGGAAACCTTTTTCATACAGTCTAAGAACAAGAAGGTGGTTGGGAAAAGTCAGCAAGGGTTTTTGAGAAGGAAGTAATGCCTCAACAATGTGATAGGCTTCTACAGTGAGATGACTGGTTTGGAGGATGAGAGGAGAGGAGTGGATGTTGTTTAATGGACTATGGCAAGACTCTACGCATTATTTCCGATAACATCCCAGTAGACAGACAGATTAAATACAGTTTAGGTAAGTAGACTGTGAAGTGTTCTGAAAGGCTAAAATGGTGGTGGCCAGTGGCATGAAGTCCAGCAGGCGACTGGTCACTAATGGAGTACCCTAGGGGTTGATCCTGTGTTCAGTACTGTTTAATATCTTTGTTAATATCCTGGATGATGACATGGGGAATATCCTTAGCAAGTTTGCTGACAACACGGAACTGAGAGGGCTAGCTGACATCCCAGATGGCTGTGCTCTCATTCAGAAAGAACCTTGAAAAGCTGGAGAAGTCAAATGACAGGAGAAACCTCACTAAGTTCAACAAAGGGAAATGCCAACTTCTGCACCTGAGGAGTAACCTCAGGTACTGCTGTACACTGTGGTCAGCCAGCTGGAAAGCAACATGGCAGAGAAGGACCTGAGGTTCCTGGTGGACAACACACATGCTGTTGAAGAAAAGGTGGCCAGCAGCAGCATCCAAAGCTGCAGAAGGTGGAGTGTTGCTGCCAGGTTGAAGGTGGTAACCTTCCCTCTATTCAACGCTGATGAGACACATCTCAAATTCTGTGTCCAGTCCTGGGCTCCTCAGTACAGGGGAAACTTGGACATAGTGAAGCTAATCCAGCAAAAGGCCATGAAGGTGAAGACTGTTCAGCCTGGAGAAGGCTTTGGCATATCTTACCAATGTCTGCAAATGGAGGCACTTTCCAGTGGTACCTAGTGACAGGACAAGAGGCAATGTTCATTATTTCAAATACAGAAAAATCCACTTAAGAAACTTTCTTACTCTCATAGTGGTCAAACATTGGAATGGGTTGCTCTGAGACATTGTGTACTCTCCATCCTCAAATACGTTTAAAACCTGGTGGGAAACAGTTCTAAGCAGCCTTCTGTAGGTGAACCTGCTATTGTATTCTACACTACTTAGAAATACTTGATTACTTTATGTTTGAAAGAACTTTTACCATTCCTGACTTTTAACAGGTAACAGCTTTCAGTAGCTTCAGAACATGAAGAAAATATTGTGTCTTCTCCAGTAAATCTTTTCTCTGAATAATTAGTCTTGATTTTTTTTCTCCATGTCCACACTATAGTAGCAGGAATACCACAAAAACCTATATTTGTGTTTTCCTAACGTTAATTGCTAATTATGTGGTCTGTAGATGCTATCTGAAGAACACAAGGAAGAACAAACCCAGCTGATACACGATGAATCACTTTCTGCTCCAAAACCTGCTCTTTTGAAGCTTTTCACTTTGTCAGATACAGTGTTATTGTGACGGGTCATGTAACTTGTTTTTGAAAGATTCATGGTGTTGTCACTGTTCCAAGACCTTGCCAAACTCAGGAAAATCATAGTCTTTAAATTGTTCAAATTTAAAAAAGATCACATGACTAAACTTAATGTTGATTGTTTATTCTAAGTAAAACTCTAGATCCAATATAAAATGGGTGTTTTCACTGATAAAATATCAGTTTTATGTGTAACTTCATTCCAAACAATACGATTAATTTCTTTCTTGCATTTTTGAAGTACTAAAAATCGATTTTGTAAGAATATGAATTGAACATTGGGGGTGGTGGTTTAAATCCCCCCCCTTTTGAGTTTTATTTAAATTTTGGAGGCACTAGCAGAGTGGCTGAACACTACATTACTGACTTAGTGTCTAGGCTCAGGCCTAAAGTACAGATTATTTTGCAGGGGTTTCTGAAACTAGCTAACATATGTATTGTGTGCCATGTTTAGTCCATCTTCCAAGGAAATAGTGTTACTGAGACATGCCATAAAGTCACAGCACTACATTTGGGAAGGAACACCTATCCATAGTTCTCTCAGAGGTAATCTGAAGACCTTTCCGAGGAAAGCCCATCAAAAACCAGCCTAGAGGCTTTGAAAGTTCCAGTGAGGCAGTTCGATGAGTGAGGTTTCAGGGTGATTTTTGTGTTGATAGTTTGGCTCTGAAGGAAGAGCAGGCTGTGCACCTTTAAGCTTATCCCCAGCAAAACTTAGTTCCTGAAGAGAATGCAATCCTAGTAAAGCCGAGATAATAGTTTTTGGTACGCTGTTAATCTGTTACAGTATTGTCATTATACTGATTTGCTGGAAAATCTCTAGAGTAACAAAAGCTTACTGAATCAAAGCAAAATTGTGTCTATATGGCATTACAAAGTAGGAACAGTTTAACTAAAAAAGAGTCATAATTATGTGAAACTATGATCTGACTTCTTTTAGGGCAAGGGAAGGGAAGGAAGAAGATTTTCCTATTATTAGGGAATTTGAACTGGTAATAGATAAAAGGAATTATTTTTTTTCAAAGCTGCATTTTAAATGCATTATACATACTTGTCTTTGTATGAGAACTTTGTTTAGAAACTGATAATTTGTATGTGTGTAACTGTGGTGTCTGCTGTGACATGATTTCAGACAGCCCAAGCTGCACTGGAAGCTGAGAATGCTATGGAGCATGGAATCCAGGCTGGTCCAACTACTTATGCTGTTGAAGGTGGGCATGGCCCTTATCAAGGTTCGGTTCTTCGAATCATTGTTGAAAATCTTCACTACCCTGTCACTATAGAAGTGTTGTATCAGGTAATGAGATCGCTAAAAACAAAAAAAAAAAAAATTAAAATCTGTTCCATTGTTGCTATTGTAAATTAATTAACTTTTTTTCTTTCTTTAAGTAGCTGTGCATCCTTAATTGTTTGACTGAGGACTGTAATTTTAAAATTATTTATTACAGTATGGGGATCTAGGCTTGAATCAGTTTTGCACAAAAAAAGGATCATAGTAAACAGGGCTTCTGTTTACAGCTTTACATGTTTTCTTTCATTTCGTTTAGCTGCTTGGTTTCTGTGGAAGCAGCCACAAACTTGAGGTGTAACTTCTAATTTATGCACACATGATGAGCTAGTAAAATAATGATTGTTATGAACTTGTGGACCCGCATTCTATCTGTTGAGTAGCTTTTGTAGTTTTCATTATATTTTAAACTTTTATATTCAATTTTATAATTTGAGGCAAGTAATGTAACATACAAGTATAGTTGCTTGGACAAATACTTTCAATTGTTCAGCAGCTGTTAGAACGCCATTTACTTTACCTCTGAAAGCCTGGCACAGAGGTGGTCTGTAGCTGTGAAATCATGAACCTAAATACACTGAACACAGGATTCGAGGTGCGGCCTCACCAGTGCCCAGTACAGAGGAATGATCACTGCCCTGGTCCTGCTGGCCACATTATTGCTGATGTGGGCCAGGATGCTTCTGGCCTTCTTGGCTGCCTGGGCATAAGCTGATTCAGTGAACATCAGTCAGCACCCCCAGGTCCTTTTCCATTAGCAGCTTTCCAGCCACTCTTCCCAAGCCTGGAGTGTAGCATGGGTTGTTTTGGCCCAAATGCAGGACCCAGCACTTTGCCTTGTTCAGCCACATACTACTGGCCACAGCCCATCAATCCAGCCTGTCCTGATGCCTCTGCAGAGCCTTTCTATCATCCAGCAGATCAGCACTCCCAGCCAACTAACTTGGTGTCATCTGCAGATTTACTGAGCATGCACTCAATCCCTCATCCAGATCATCAGTGAAGACATTAAACAACACTGGCCCTAACACTGAGCCCTGAGGGACACCATTAGGGACCAGCTGCCAACTAGATGTGATGCCATTTACCTCCACTTTTTGGACTCAGCCATCCAACCAGTTTCCAACCCAGCAAAGAATCTGCCTATCCAGGCCATGAGCAGGCAGTTTCTCCAAGAGAATGCTATGGGAGACAGTGTCAAATGCTTAAGTCCAAATAGACAATGTCTACACCCTTCCCTCATCAGCCAGGTGGGTCACCTTATCGTAGAAGATCAGGTTGGTCAAGCAGGAGTTGCCCTTCATGAACCCATGCTGGCTGGGCCTCATCCCTCCATTTTCCTGTATGCATTTTTTGATCTCACTAGGATCATCTGCTCCATGACCTTCCCCAGCACTGAGGTCAGGCTGGTAGGGCTAAAATTCCTAGGGTCATCCTTCCTGCCCTTTTCTTCCTGTTCCAGGCTTAGTATTTTCTGGGGATGGGGGAGGGGGTGGAAGAGTTCTGCTTTCCTGACTTGTATTGATTCTGACAATTTGCTCTAAAATTGTTAGTACTTTCCAAACTTACCTTTCCTCTTCCACTGTTGATTTAGACATAGTTTTTCTGCACTTACATATTGTGCCCTAGGTATACTTTTGTCCTCGTCCTTTGTGGCTCTGCTTCTGTACAGACACCCTTATGTAGTTCACACTCTCATTTTGAGTGTATGTATATTAATTTCAGACTTCTGCTTTTTTTTTTTTTCTGCAGTGCTTGCATTTGCAATAAATTAAATGCCATTCTATTGTAAATCAGAGGGATTGGACCCAAACCTGGTCTTTGTCTTGCTTCTTTCCTTCTTTGTCTTCTGGTTTGGTTGTGCGTAATTAATTTGTAGACACATCAACTATTTCAAATATATTTTTGGTCACCAAATTTGCAGAACTTGTTTGAAATACAGAATGTAAAGGTGGATGCCTTGAAAAGCAGATTGAAGTTCCCATCGAAAGTCCATTTCTCAAACCTCAACTTTGATTATCCACAGTTTCTCTGCAGGCATTGGACAAATGCCTGTTTGGGCTGGCCTTCCCCACTCTTTCACTGTTGAACAGCCATTGCTATATCTTTAAGGAAATTTCATTCTTTTTCATTGTCTTTTATAGCCTCTTTAATTTTTTTTTTATATGAAAAAACTCTAAGTTCATTCAGTTTCTCCTCAACTCTCACAAAAGAAATGACTATCAGCAATCTCTGTGATATATCAAATGCTAGATTTTAGTGTGTATGAGTTATTCATTGTTTCTGAAAGCTCATTTTTTCTTTCTCAAGATTTTTTCCAGGTTTGGATCTGTCTTGAGGATTGTTATCTTCACTAGGAACAATCAGTTCCAAGCTTTGCTCCAGTATGCTGATCCAATGAATGCATATTATGCCAAAATGGTAAGTATAGTGTGTTCAACTTGATTATTTTGCTGGTCACCTTCCTACCCTCCCAGGGAAATGGGGAACATTAGGGATAGCTGGGCATGAGACACTTTGTATTTCTCTTTAATCTGTGTGGCCACTTCAATATTAGTAAATAAATAAAATCAATTTGAAAGTTGCCATATAAGGTATGTAGAGGAACAGATTCTGCTAAGTGTTAAGTGGTATTTAGCAGTAGGTGTTTTTTAGAGTGAGTTAGGCTAGACTGAATGGAACTTTTACCCTACTTCTGTTACTGAAGTTGACTTTTTATTCTCAGCTTCAAAATCAAAGGCACAGAATATTTATCTATTGCTGTTTGCAAGTTAGTCCAGTAAGTAAATTCACTATGTGTTTTAGTGAATAAGTGTATATTGGAAATTACTAAAGGTAAGTGGGATTACAGCCAGTTTGTTAACAATACCATCCTTTCTTAAAGAACAGTATTAATAATAATATATATTTTATTAAAGATTTCACAGAAATTATAATTCCAGTCTAGATTACGTTAAATAATTATAGCAAGCCAGTATCTTTTGACTGTGTTTTACCCCCCACCATCCATCATGATTCTTTTGTGACTGGTTTAAGCAGAAAACACTACTTTAGTGATCTTTCTGAGCAGCAGCTACTCTTAAAGAGACAGATTTTATAGAACCATTTAGGTTGGAAAAGACCCTTGAAGTCACTGAGTCCCACGGTAAACTAAACACTGCCAAGTTCACCACTAAGCCATGTCTCCAGGTCTTTTAAATACCTCCAGGGATGATGACTCAACCACTTCCCTGGGCAGCCTTCTCCAGTGCTTGACAACCCTTTTGGTGAAGAAATTTTTCCTTATATCCAATCTAAACCTTCCCTAGTGCAACTTGAGGCTTATTCCTCTTGTCATATCACTTGGGAGCAGAGACCAACCACCACCTTGCTCCATTCTCCTTTCAGGTAGTTATAGAGAGTGATAAGATCCCACCCTGAGCCTTCTTCAGGTTAAGTAACTTCAGTTTCCACAGGCACTCCTCCTAAGACTTGCGCTCTTGGTCCTTTACCAGCTTATGTAAGGGACAATTCCATGCAATAAAAGCTCCAAATTAGTATTGCTACTAGCATCTGATACCATGTGTTGAGTGGGAGACAAGTAAGATTAGAAGCACAGCAAGAAAGACAAGTCATGTTTAAAGCTGTTTTGTCCATCGGCGCAAGGCGACGTAATACAAATTAGTGGACTGCACTAGTACTCTACACAGGATGTTCAGGTAAGGATGGTGGCAGCATAGCTGTATACTTGGTGTGTAAAAGCAGCACCTCAGAAACAAGATGCCTTTCTGTATGGGTAGAAGTGTGGAGTGAAAACAAACTTACAGTGCTATTTTTCTTCAGAATCTGGATGGCCATAATATCTACCCTACGTGCTGCACCCTGCATATTGAGTTCTCCAGGTTAGGTAGCCTTGAGGTGAAGTACAACACTGAGAAAAGTAGAGATTTCACTCGCCTTGATCTTCCTTTTGATGAAGGCCAGCATCCTCTGGAGCTATCCATGGCTCCTGCCTATGGTAAGAAACCTTAATTTTTAGTGATGCACAATAAGGTTGCTATGCTTTTCATGTTGTACTTATGCTCTAGATTCACATCAAGTTCATAGAAAGGTACATTTTGTTTACTTTGGTTTGTTGGGTCAAATAGTTTGTATGGAAAGCAGAAAGTACAACTCAAGATACGTGAATATCTGAAGCTATAACATGAGGAATGCACTTGGGAAAATTCAAAGTGGTGTGGAAAAGCTGCATTTGTAAAATGCTGTGAGACTATATCATTGGTACAGGTAGTATAATAAATGTTGCATATCAGAATGGCCAGTGGCAGTCATTCAAAGTTGACACTATTTGCCTAAAACTGCTTGAAAATGAGTGTTTGAAGAGTGTTATCTCTTTGTTGTTATTTTAGGATAACTGCCTCCTGTAACAAAACTACAAGAAACTTTGAAATACTACACCTATATATATATACATATGTATGTTTTGTTGTCACTTTCTAAAAGATAAATTTTTAGAAATTTTTGTGAATTTTAGAAGTCATTTCCATGATGTAGAGGATACAATGTCTGCTTGAAGCTACACTGGAGAAGTCTTTTTGGCATAAATAGCTCAGGTATCCTCATTTAATCAGTTTCCGTAATAATGCAGATCACCAAACAGATTAATATGATGATCTGTCAGAAGTACTCACAATGCAATTTGAGTGATTTTAGCTATTTTTCTTTCTCTCTAATGACAACCATTAGCACTAAGACACAGCTAACTGTCTCAGCATGTTTAATAGGTTGGGGAAGGGCTAGGGAAGAATTCCCATTTTTCCTTTAGTTTTCTGTGATAGCTAGGGCAGATACTGGGTTTGGCTTGGGTTTTTCGGATAGCTGGCTTTGGTAGATTAGAGTAAGAAAGTGAGTCGCACCCACTACTTTCTGGATTGTTTTTGCTGGTTCCCTTGAAGGCAGGCCTTGGATCTTGACGTAATGTGCAACCATCTTTATAATGTTTTTGAGGATTTGCCATAGATTATCACGGAAAAATGCTGTTATAGATCTGATGTTTTCATTAATTAGACTTGCACAATTTGAAATATCAATAAAAGGGGAAAGTAAACTTAGAGTAGATTAAGGACCAACTTGTTTATAGAGCAGAGATAACACTGTATGCATGCTTTTGGGGAGTAACACATGAACATCTCCATTTTCTTCCCCCTCACTCTTCCAGCCTTGTCATTGCTAGTAGTCCTGTTTTCAGTCTGAACATTTACTGTAACAGTAAGAACGGCAGAGGTGCTGATATAAAAAAGGTTCTGATATCTTCATCAAAATTTGTTTGTAGTGCAGTCAGTGAAGCAGCTGCATAGATATTTTTCTTTTTTAAAAAAACCAGCTTTAGACTGGAAGAAGCATGCTTCTAGCCTTTCAGTCAGTGGTGACAACACACATACTTTGCAGTAGGCAAAACTGATAGTCCTCAGTTGCATGACATGAGGAAAAGATATTGGGAGTCATGTTAGCACTTAACACTTCCAGTGTTGCTACTAGTGGGTACATTTTTGACGGAGAACTAGAAGATAAAGCAGGTAACTATCAGAATAATACTTGCATTTTTTTTCTGTAGACTTGAAGTTATCCTACTCCGAAAACTAAACTGCTCTTGAAACTTATTTTTTTCCTTCATTTTTTTTCTCTTTTTTTTTTCTTTTGCTTGTAGTGAAAAGATGCTGCACTATAAATAAGCAGATTTTGTGAATGTTCTGCTTTTAAAGAGTTCCCTAACCCAGTGAGCATAAGCAGAGATACATGAATTAGCTTGCTTTGGAAGCTAGCCATGAAAGAAATTATTTTACGCATAAAAAGTGCAACAGAGAATACCATATCTTTCTGCATTACCTTTGTTTGACAATTTTTGTATGCCTGATTTGTGGTATCAGCATGCAACATACAGGTCTTATTTAGCAGAACAAAAGTGCTTTCTCGATTTCTTCATTAATGTTTCCATTACCATTCCTGGATTGTGAATAAGTGATTAATATCTATATTGCCAGGACTTGTTGATATAATGCACCAGTGTGTATATCTCAAGAACACAATGACTTCCTTTGGTGTGATAAATGAATTCAGTTGTTTGTATGAAAGACACTTTGTTGCTACAGATAAGAGGAGGTGTAATGTGATGCAGCATTCATGAATACCTGATCTGTGATGTCTGTTTCATTTGCTGGTTTGGTAATACAGAACAGATACTTCTTATACTATTGTATCATCCCTGTCAATGACCATCTGCTAGGGAATGTAGCTATTTTAGTCAATGGTGGAGGTTTGAGTAGTAAAACAGACATATTGCCAGGATAGGATGTATTTCTTAAATATATATACCCCATTTAAAGAAGTCTAGTGCGCCAACATATGAAAGAAAGCACAACTTGAGTTTGTATATAACTACGTCTTATAATAATAGTTAGTGTGCTGCCTGGGTAACACCTCCACATGCTAATGTGAAAGTCACTGAGCTATCTTTGAGGCTGTCATTCTCCATATGTCAATATTCCAAATCTGTTCAATGCTTTTGATTGCCAGAAGAATCATTAAAAGCCCCTGGTTATTTATGAAATAATATAACCTGATAAAGTAGATCTCCTTAAAAAGCAAAATATACCTTTATGCATCTCAGTAGCTAGTAAAATTCAGACCTTCAGTTTCATTGTAATCGTTTGTATTATTTAGCCCCTACTGGTTTTAGAAATATCTAGGGAACAGCTGTATCTCATTATTGCAAAATGTTTTTGAGTATACTTACTTCATGGAAATGTTTAGAATACATTTCCGTTGTGTGAATAGAAACTATGGAACATTGCATCACAGGTATCTTAACGTATCTTAACTTTAATGGATCGTATTCTATGCTGTGCTTTACTATTCAAACTCGTCTATATTACATCTTGCTATGGCCTCATTTTAAAAAGGAAAATTGAGGCTAAGTGGAATATTTGCCTTCAAATGTGGCTGAAATTTGTCTTTGTAAAACATTGAATCTTGGATTTTAATGAGAGTTTTTAACACAAACATTTTATAAAAGACATAATCGCAGACTGAGATCAGAACACTAGAAGCTGATTCTTAACTGCTGAAGTCTCTTCCATTTTCTCAAAATTTTAAAATCTTTAAAATTTTAAAATTCGATGTCTGCTCTCTCTAGGCACCCAAAATTTCATCATCCCGTCATATACTGGGGCTCCTGGGTTTGCCCCAGCCATGGCCTTTACGCCAGTTGCAAGTAAGCTTCCATTTTCTAAAAATGCAGTGTATGTGGATGTGGCTAGTGGTCTATCTGAATACACTGGTTCACAACATTGTTTTCAAACATTGCAGTTGGAACACAGTGCTCATTTGAGTCACTCTGGTTCTCTTTCTCGTGTTATTCAGCAAAACTAATCTCTGAATAAAAATACTGGATACTGAAGTATTTTATCATTTAATAAATATGATAAAGAAATTAAATGCCATGGTAAAGATTACCTGCAGTTGAAGAAACTAAGCATATGTTTTAGTAAGAATTGTAAGACTTCAGTGACATTCAAAGCTAAAGAAGGAAATCTCCCTTTTTCTGGCTATAGAAGAAGAAATAAATAGTCTTCTATGCTCAGTGATCTTTTCTGTGCTAAATTATTTTTCTTCTTTCTTGGGCTTGTCCCTTTTTTTTTGTGTCTGTTGGTATAGCTGAATATTTCTTCATTTCTGGAGGGGAGGTGCTTTCTGCTTTATTGGTCAAATACTAGTAATAACTAAATTTCTTAGAAGAATTTTTAATTGAGTATTGATTTTTTTTTTTTTTTTTTTTTGCCAAATGTAACCTGCTTTTGTCTTCTAAAATGTCTTTTCTTCTTTGAGATGTGAAGTCATGCTAGTAATACCCTTTCAGGTTATTCCTTTCCGGTTGTTCCTGCACCAGTAGTGCCTGCACCAGTGGCTCTTCCTGCAGTTTCTACTGTTCCAGCCAACTCTGTTTTACTAGTCAGCAACCTCAACCCTGAAGTAAGTTTGCTTGGTGAAACTGATGCAAGTATCAACTTGTACCAACTGCCAGAATTCTCCTTGCAAATTGACATTAGCTAAAGAAGTAAGAGAGTATCTCAATGCTGATAATGCAAAAAATAAAGGACAGCTCTATTCTTGTTTGGGATAATTTGCAAAATTGATGATGTTTGAAAAATCCAGTCAGCAGTGAAAAGCTTTCCAACACAATTTACTTTAGAAAACCTTTGTTAGCAGGGTAGCTGGTAATTACAGAAAAGTCCATGGTCAGATGTGAGAAATGCTTGAGGGGGTAAACAACATACTTAATGGTGCCTCTGTTAATATGACTCCTCTTTGAGCTACTTTGTCATTAGAGAGTCCAAAGACTTTTGTTTGTTACAAAGCATGAGGAGTGAGAGAAACAGGAGGGAAGAGAAAAGAAGATAAAAGTATTCCAAAGCACGATCTTTAGTTTTTGCAGCTTATCCCAGGTTGGAGAGGAAGATCACAGGTGCACTTTGCTATTAACATCACTGTGAATCCGTTTTAAAAAGTTAATAAATACACAGGTTGACATGTCATAATACACACAGATTTTATTATTTTTTATATATATTTTTATATATATATATGTTGGCAGTAAAATTGCCAAGGACAGCTTGCATAGTTATTTTTATAGTGAAAATTATATAGTAACTCCTGTTACTCAAATGCTACACATTGCGCTATGCTTTATTAAAAACAATGTACATCTCTTAAAAAAAAATAAATAAATCAAGCTTCACAGAACCCGTGACTAAAACCACAATTCTGCTTGACTATGGATAAGCACTTCTACTACAGCAATTGTTTGTTTTACACACACATTAGACTTGCTTAACCAAACAACGGATAAAATTAGGAGTTATTGGCAAAATGGAAGTTATTTTTGTATTACTGAAGTTCAAAAATCTGTTGACAGTTTATTTAATCTTTAAGTAATTGTTGTATTTCTGGTTTTGTTCTGAGAGCTGAACTTAACAGTAAACATCAAAAGGAACAGCTGCAGATTAGGACTGTAAGACAAGTCAACTTTGTCAATATATCTGATCAGTAAGTTTCTGATGATTGCTGTGGATACACAATCCACAAGCAATCTGAGTCTTTAAATAGTGTGTTTTTTAAGACTAAGGATGTGTGAAGCAAGGTCAGAGCTATTTTTTGGACTGTTTTACTTAATGCTAACCATATACAAGAAGCTGTCATATGGAACCTTGTGCTGTAATGCATGATACAACATAAATGCATTAAATAATGCTCAACTTCTTAAAAGATAAGAAATAAGAATATACCACAGTGCATATTGTTGGAAATACAAATTGTTGTAAATATATTTCTTGGCAACTGTGTAACATTTGCTCTTCAGTAGTGGTTGTCTGAGCCCTTCACTTCTTTTTCTGTGTTTAGAAAATCTGGTTGACCTCATTTCAACTTATATTTCTCCCATATTGCAGGGTTTCGATGTGCATTTCAGCGTTCCTTCATGACTTTGAAATTAACTGGTTTTGTCTCCCAGAAAGTTTTTTTAGTATAAGTATTGCAGTCTCCTTTGGTTACACAATTTCTTTGAATAAACTCTGTGCTGAATTAAAATATTTGGGCCAGAAAGCCCAAACTGTTAGAAGCATTTAAATTTTATATTGATAGTAATTGTTCCTTATTTAGTAATAATGCTGATGATAAAAGGGTATGGAGTTACACTTAAACTGCACTATCTGATGTTTTAAAATAATTTAGATATGTTTGGTACACATTTCAAATGTTGTGAGTTGAGAATGAATAAGACTAAAGAGTGTGAGTAATGCTTCTGATACCCAGGTATTTTTAGTACTCAGTACTGGCAAAACTTTGCCTCAGCTGAATCAAATTTGGCTGCATTAGGGTGCAAATTTCTCTTTGGTGCTTGGAAAACTTGGAACACAAGGATGTAATTAAAAGTCACTGAAGGAAAGCTATTTCATTCAATATTTATCTTTCTGTTCTCAACTTCTAGTTGAATGCAATTTAAATACTGGTTTCTGTCTGGTTCATATATAAACATGGTATGTGTATCCATTTGAACATTTGAAGCAACTGCTTTTATTGTTAAGGTATTTTCTGCTGTTTAGAAAATACAAAAGGGTTCTTGAATGCTCTTTTCTGTTTCTAGCTTAGCAAGTGTCTTTTGTTTTTCAGGGAGTGAACTGCTAGCTTGGAAAGAATGAGCTCAAATAATAAAGCTACTTGAAATATTGCTAACTTCTTCAGCATGACAAAATGAGTCTCTATTGATGAAAATGCATGAGCTGTACTATCAACATGTTTAAATATTTTATATGTGCATATCAAATATATATTAACAAGAATGCTATACACTGTATTTACTGTAGTTAGGGAATGGCTTTTGAAGAGACAGATTCATGCATTAGTGTACAGTATCTCTTCCGTTCTTTTTGTTTACATGCATTTATGGAATAGATTTCTTTATTTGCATGGGTTTAAAAATAATATACTCATTTTATCATTTAAACAGGCCATCACACCACATGGACTCTTCATCCTATTTGGTAAGATATGTCAAATATACCTTGAGGGCTAACATTCTTTTTATTTATCTGATATATGCTTGTTAATGCAAGAGCCATTCCTCTATCTTTGTTCAGACAATGCACAAGAGAATGTGCTAGTTTTAAAATTGCAGTAGTTGTACGCAACAGGTACCAAAATGGCACAATGTTTACAGTATCAGAAGAATTTCAGTGTGTGGTCCAATTTGTTTACCACAAAGAATAGGAAAGCAAAGTGAAATTAAAAAAAGACTGAATCAGAGTAAATGGAGTAAAGAATTGGCACACACGTTAGTTGAGAGGACAATGTTTGTTGGCATAATAATATTTAATATGTCTCTATTAAGAGGACTTTAACACTGTTGCACTATTTAACAGCTGAATACAAATATGCTGTATTATAGAATCATAGAACCATAGGATAGTTAGGGTTGGAAAGGACCTTAAGATCATCTTATTCCAACCTGCCTGCCATGGGCAGGGACACCTCACACTAAACCATGTCACCCAAGGCTCTATCCAGCCTGGTCTTGAACACTGCCAGGGATGGGGCATTCACAGCTTCCCTGGGCAACCCATTCCAGTGCCTCACCACCCTTTCAGTGAAGAATTTCTTGCTTATACGAAATCTATACTTCCCCTGTTTAAGTTTGAATCCATTTCCCCTTGTCCTATCCCTACAGTCCCTAATGAAGGGTCCCTCCCCAGCATCCCTATAGCCCCCCTTCAGATACTGGAAGGCTGCTTTGAGGTCTCCACACACGAGACTAAAATCCTGTGGGATTTCCCCCATTTCTGAGCCTCACAAAATAATACACAAAGTTTAAATATCTCCTTCATACTAATATTCTAACCAACCCATTTAATGAGGTGATTATTCTTTGTAACCATAATGTCGGTCAAAAACCCCAGATTTGCCCTTGTGCTGTTTGTAGTAATGGTGTGGACAAATCTTCTTTCTGTATTTTCACAGGTATGTATGGTGATGTACATCGTGTGAAGATCATGTTTAAGAAGAAAAGCAACGCATTGGTTCAAATGGCAGATGGAACCCAGGCTCAGTTAGGTACTGACTTTTAAGGCACAGTTATGCTTTGAATTAGAGTGAGTGCAATAAAGATGAGGAATTTGCCATCTGTGAGTGACAAAAGCATGAACAAATGAAATCCATCATCGTGATGATTTACTACATACAAGCTTGTCCTTTTTAATGTTATAATGTTTGCTTCATGTAAAAAAAATATTTTCTCATAGTGGATAAAAAGATAAATAAATCCTGTGGATCACAATTTAGTCAATGATAGAATTAAAACGTTATACTAGGTTCTTGTAGCTTATCTTACTAATGCATCATACAATTTTACTGTAGTTTACCCTATGTCTAGCTATTTAAGGATAATCAACTGCTCTTTATTGAAATACTGGTTTGCATTTTTGTTGCTTTTAAAGTGGAGGATATCTTACATTCTTATACTTGTTTTAAATATAATGTTATGACATAGCCCACCTGGTAAACATGGAAGTTGCAGTTTAAATTTAGAATGTGAAATGTGACACTAAATAGAAGGCAAAGAATCCTTTTTTCTTCCTTTCTCTTCATTCTTGTTCTAATTGTATTTCCACTGGTCAGCTATGGGTCACTTGAATGGACAGAAGCTTTATGGAAGGGTCATCCATGCTACTCTTTCAAAACATCAAATAATTCAACTTCCTCCTGATGGAAAGAAGGGCAACGGTCTGACAAAGGACTATAGCGATAGCCCTCTACATCGCTTTAGGAAGTCTGGCTCTAAGAACTTCCAAAACATCTCTCCTCCATCTGACACCCTGCATCTCTCCAACATCCCGTGAGTATCTATATGTGTGATCCTCTTGTAATGATGGTTTTTAGGTTATGTTCTTAAGTTACATAATCTGATACAAGCTTTACATTGCCTTGGCCTTTTACAGTTTCCTAAGAATTTGGATCACTCTGCTCTGTAATTAGCAATAAGTGAATCCTTTAACTGTCACTTTTTATTCTTAGCAAAGAATAGAACTGACCGAGTGCTCTTCTTTGCATTTCAGTACAGTATACATTTGCTTGAGAATATGCTTTTGCTTTACAAATATTAAGTCCTGTGTTTAATAAACATTAATAAATGTTAAGTATTTAATAAAGTTAAATATTTAAATAAATGTTAAATATTTGTGAATATTAAATTCATGTTTTTTGAGATAACGTACTGGAGTTACATTACATCAGATTTGTGACTGGCATCATTGTTTAATGTAGATGCAGTTTTTAATCATTCTAACACTTTTTAAAGAATTGTTTCTACAGAATTCAGACATCTTACACAGAAGGGAAGTTTTTATAAAGAAAAAATATTAAGAAGTATGTTCTTTAAAACTGGACCAACCTTTTCTCCTATCTCGAATGTTGTCAACAATGTAAGGAGTGAGAATCAAACAAGTTTTTACAAGCATCTTTTGTTCAACAGCTGTGCAGGGAGGAAAAAGGGAAAACTATGGAATTTTGTCAAAATTAAAAAAAAAAAAAAGAAAAAAGAAAAAACCAACGCATAACAAAAAAAAAAAAACCCAAACAAAAAACAAACCCACTTAGAAATGGCTTTCTGAGTAAAATAGAAAGCTTTCAAAATTGAAAATATGTGAAGCATATTAGCAGCAGTTACAAGATGAAACGTATTTCTGAAGATATTGGTGAAGATCTTAAGTGATCTTTATGCAATCTTAATTTAACTAAGAGAGGGACGTGGTAGGATGAGAAGCGGGAGAGTGTATCTGAAATGTGTTTGTGGCACACTGTGGTGCTAAATCTTAGTGTCAAAGCCAAGATGTTTGAGCTAAAGTCAACATGGCTTGAGTTGGTGGAGATAGTTTTTGTTGTTCAAATCTAATTTAGAAGCCAGAACTGAGATTTTGATACTATTACAGAACCCTGTATTCTTTTACAAGTTGTGGGGGCATTGTTTCAGTTTTGTTTTCTTCTTTATTTTAAATAGGCCTTTTGTTACTGTTGAGGACATGGAAAACCTTTTTGAAAATACAGGATCTACTGTGAAAGCCTTCAGATTCATCCAGTAAGTTCTCTTGTAAAAATGCTGAGCAAATTTTCAGCCTGGAAGAGGGATAACTGTCTTTTTGAGAAATAAATATATACAAATAAAATAATAAATAAAGTATAGGCAAAATTCCATGTGTTTAAATCTATAGCCAAAAGCTGCACAACTATGGAGATTTTTGATAATCCAAATCTTAAAATTTTTAATGGTAAACTATGTTAGTTAGCATAATTAAATGAAAAATATTCAGGCTTTTGATGAATTCCACATGTGTTCAAAGTACAGTAAGTTCAAGTAAAGTAAATACTCTTTTCTTTAAAAAGAAATACAGGCTGTGAATATGTAAAATGTCATATAAAAAAAAAAGACAATGAACCTGCTCTAGCATTCATTAAAGTTGCTTGGCAGCATTATTTTAGCATGATCATACCAGCTAAATAATCCCACATACAAGGACATTACAAGCGTTTCTTAGAGGTCTTCAAGCCTTATTTTGACCCTGTTTTTCAAAGCATGGTGTAACAGAAGAAAGGCATGGCTGTAGACCATTGATCTGCAGTATTTCTACATCTCCTCATTTTAGCATGTGCATAACTAGCTCTGATTCCCTGTACAAGTGTGTTCAGTGCATGTGATGTGGCTGAAAAAATACTTGTGCCACTTTTCTGTGTTGGCTACTGCAGTGAAAATTTGTTCAGGATTAATAATTGTTTTTATTGTACTTCAGGAAAAAATGCAGAATGGCTCTTATCCAGCTAGGCTCTGTAGAAGAAGCATTTCATGCTCTCATTGCGCTTCACAATCATGACCTTGGAGAAGAGAATCACCTCCGAATTTCCTTCTCAAAATATACAATCTGACTTTTCTGTGGACTTTCCTTTTAAGACTGCATCACATATTAAATAAAATCTTCAAGTAGAGACTGAAACAGCTCTAACCAGCTCTGTCTCTTAAAAGAAAAAGCTCATTCATACATGAAGTTTCAGGTGATTATCTTTTCTGATTTAGCTGCCAGTATGTGATCAAAGTTTAATATTCATCCATGGAAAAAATTCCTCTATGAAAGTGCTTTAGCAACAATATTTATCCCCAAGTTTCCTACATAAAGTTATATTTTGAGAACATCCCTTTAGCTTTTGTTTAAAATCAGCCTTACAAAACACTTCAGAGAATTTCACAATATACCAAACAAAAAGTACTTCTAACAAAAATAATAGTCAATCTACACTACACAGACTAAACACTAATTTGAATGTGAAATAATGCTCGGGTTTCTTGAAAAAAGCAAGCACTGGCTGTGAGTGTCCTCTAAATAGTATATATGTCGCCAGGGTATGTGTTCATAGTTTGGCAAATATTTACAGATAACTTCTTCTAAAAGCAAACTGTGCTGTTCATATGGGTTAAATTATTAGAGAACAGGCAGTGCCTTCTCACTGCAGCGTAAAAGATAATTGACAAGTTTATTCAAGATGTTCTATCAGACACCTAGCTTGACTTAGCCCTGGCATTAATTTCTTTTTTCCTATGAAGTGATGTATGATAGTGCTTTAGAGAAAATGGGAAAATAGTCCTGATATCAGTGAACTTTTTTACATTTCTTTTAAGAATAAAATGTTTACAATCTTACTGCAAATATTCAGGTCTTTGATGGTTTGATAACTTTTTAAGAAGTTATTTTTGTTAGGGTCATCTTTGCAGCAGAAAAATTGAACCTCAAGAGTTTTTTGTATCACTATAATGTCTAATACTTAAATTCCTATGTATTTACTTAATTTCTTATTATGTGCCTTACTATATGCTTATGATTCAATAGCTTAGAGTTTTCTCTGAAGTGTCTTGAAAAATATATTGTGGCCTTTCTCTTTGTGGTCTTCTTAGAAATGTCTTCCTTGATACTTTTGTTCCCACAGAGTAATCTGAATTCCAGTCTTTTGTGCTTTGGTATAGAGATTGGATAGAAGTGGGAATGATTTTAATGAGTTTAAGTGAGAATGAGTTTAACTTCTTGTGTAATTGTGTGGGGATTCTTCAAATTTACCTGGTTGCAGTTAGTTGATGCCAGTACTTGGCTGAAAAAAATGCACTAAAAAAAGCCTGTATAGAAAGACTACATAGCAAATTTCACCCCAGTTTCTGGACTTCATCTAGCATTTTAAGACACATCTGAGCTGCTGCATTTTTCTCCCAGTATTAATCTTTAAGTGATAAAAAGCTGTCCCTTGTAAGGAGGAAGAAATATTTGATAGTGAGTGCATATTTCTCTTTGGAGAATATGCCAAGATAGAGTTAGCTTTGGTGTTTAAAGTACATATAAACTTTTGTGACTTTTATTTCAAAAAAATTAATTTCATTATTAAAAATTTTCTTTCTTGTGTTAACTACCTTTTCGAGAGGTATTCCTCTCAAGCATCACATTTACCTCTAACTACTGCTGAAATGTTTAGCCACTTTTGGGTTTTTTCGTAAATTTGTATGAAGTATATGACTTTGTAACTTTCTCAGAGAAAAAGCATGTTTCTCACATGACCTTAAGTATTCTGCAGTAAGCTTTTTCAAATTTTCTCTGTACTATTTCTCAAAATCAGCATGATTTTCAGAAAAACTAGCTTGCCTTCTTTTAATACACATAAGTCAATTGCAGCAGCCTATCATAGTAAAGATGGTGTCAAACTGCAACAAATTGTCCTATTTGACAGTAGATAAAAGGCTGACTAAATACGTATGCAGTGATAATAAGTGCTGTACAACACAAATAAAGAAGTATTCAGAATATACTATTTACTGACAAGTCAAATTGGCTTAGGAATAACGCAGAATGTTACTATTGGAATTTAAAGTAGTCATTCTATTTTCCTGTTTCAGAAATAGCTAATTCAGTTTTGTGAAGTTTGAAATCAATTAAAAAAAAAAGAAAAGAAAAGAAGAAAAAAGAATTTCTGGGGTGCCAGAGCATGGTACAAAATTACACATTTATGATTTCGGCCAAGTGCATTTGTAAGAAGGCTTGCTCGTTTACATAGCCTCATTTTCATCAGGATGCTTAATTCTAATTCATGTCTATGTTTTACCTTGTTAGCAGTCACACTGATAGCAGATAGAGAATCTTGCTGGACTGGGAACATTCCTTGTTTATTGCACATAAATTGCTTTGGTAATACCTCACCATGATCCATAAAATATATTTTGTCACTTTTCTCAAGAATTACAGCTACAGTGGAGAGGGATTGTATTAGATATGAATGTAACTCTAAAGCAGGAAAAATGGAACCTTAAGTTTGAGATCTAATACTGATGTGCAATATCAGGAGTGGTACAGGGATACTGACAATACGTGTATGCAAACATGTGAATCATGCATTTTAATTAATTGACAGCAGAAGATGGGAAAGTTTAATCAAGTATAAAGGGGTGAGGGTCTCTGACTTTCTCTCAAAAAGAGAAAAGATTAATTTATCTTTTAATTTAGTGTTAGAATATAGCTAATATCAGCTCTGGACTCTTTGCTGTTTGAAATGTATACACCTGTAGTTTAAATTAGAAGACATTTATGTTTTTTTAGTGTAAGATAACTCTGAGTGTGTTAAAATTAAAAAACAATAAAGGATTTTTGGTTTTGTTGCATATTTATTTTGTGTGTTGTTTTCATTCTCCTTTGTTGTACTTCTGTAGTTGAGCTATTTCTGTCAACTTGATTTTAGACTTGTATATATTTTGAAGATGCTGCTTCTTAGGGAGATTTGCTTTTACAGGAAGTGCAGACAAGCTTCAAAACTAGCAGTGCATCTTAGTGTTTGGTTTGCAGAAAGAAGGCACTAGTTAAGGCTAGTTTATCTCAATCAGTAGTCTGCCTTAAATAAATTTAAAGCAAACCCATAACCCCTTGTTTATCCTAATGAATTGTTAGTGAAGGATCAGGACAAAAGGAGTAATTCTTAGACTTTGTGTTTGGCTCTTCAGTACCTGGCTGTTAAAACACAGTTGCATCTTATTTCTTGGTCCTCTGAAGCATATATGAACAGTGATACCTGTGGGGGGGGGAAAAAAAAAAAGAAAAGCAAGATATGGGAAAGAATGGGATTATTCTACATATTTTTAGTGATGTAGGTGGAAAGGATCCTCTGGAGGCCTTAATACTGACTCAAAGTTGGATTAGGGCCAACTTTGGGCAGTTGCTCAGGGAATTGTACAGTTAAGTTTTCGGTATTTCCAAGAATCGAGATTTTACAAATTCCTTATTCTCCTCACTGTTCCAGTGCTGGACTGCCCTCATTTGACTGCCTCATTTTTTATCTAATATGCAAATAGGCTTTAAACATACTGCATCCTATGACTGTTGCCATTTGTCCTGTAGCTGTGCAAACTTGTTGTGTAACAAGAAGATTCTGGCTCCATTTTCTCTGTACAGTGGCCTTAAGTTGTTGAAGGTAGGTTCATAATTTCTTTAATATAAATTCTCAATTTCTGTTTAAATTATTTGTGAATCATAGTGTAATCTGGAACTTGTACTCTAAGCCACTAGTGGTTATATCCTGACTACAGTTACTGGAATGGTTGAGGGCAGAGTTCTCTGCCTATGTATGTATTAAATCCACAAATCGGCTTCAGGTTACCTCTAGCTCTGTTTTGGTTTTTTTTTGCAAATTCACCCTCAGTTCAAAGTGTACAATAGCCTTTTTAACAACCTAGGACCACCTTAGTGCCTTTTCAAATGACCTGTGATTTGTTGCATAATGTTAGAACTTCTGGTTCTTTGAATTTTTTCAAAGGCTTTTGAACATCAGAAGAATTTCTGAAACTCTGGTTTGTGATTTGACTTGCTTGCTTTGTCTGCTGGTCCTGTCAGCTGCACTTATTTTTTGTGCACTGATTTTATGCCCAAGATATTCCACATACCTGAGATGATTTGCCTGCATGTGACACTTTACGATTACAGATGGCAAACTTGTCTGCATGCTGACAAGACTATTCACCTCTCTGATAATACTGCCAGTGTGGTTTGTGTAATCAAGTATCTTGCCATCCTCTGATTCACATCAGTAGGAAAGTGATGAGTTTTTTTCTTATAAGGGGTATGGACCTACTTCTTCTCATTGTATACTGTTCGGTCATACCACTATTTTTCAAATGAGAGGTCAACTTCTTACAAAAGGAATTGTTTTCCTTTTACCTTTTGTCCTGTATGTTGTTGTTTACAGCAGAAGTACCTTTTCTTTGTATTAACTTTATCTTCTGTCTTCTGAAGATTTGTTTGCTATATGCAAGATGGTTTGCCTGCTCTTTCCAAAGCAAATCTGAACAGTTAGGGATTGTGAATTATTTCAAGAAAGAATGGAGAATTTCAGAAATATTTATGTTTAGGGTTTATTGCAGTGAGGGGGAGTGATGACACACAAAATTGGATCAAATTTATGTGCCTTCAGTAGTTTCAGATGTAGACCTCATGCTCACCAATAGGGAAGGGCTGCTTGGAAATGCGGTGCTCCAGGGCACCCCTGGATGCAGCAATCACGAGATGGTCAAATTTGAGATCCTCAGGACAGTGAGAAGAGCGTGCCCTGGACTTCAAGAGAGCAAACTTTGGCCTCTTCAGGCACCTCCTTAGTAAGGTTCCATGGGATATAGCCCTAGAGGGCAGGGGGGCCCAAGACTGTTGGTTGGTGTTCAAGGATCACCTGCTACAAGCTCAGGAGTATTGCATCCCAACCAGAAGGAAGTGCAGCAGGAGGGCCAGGAGACCTCCTTGGGTAGATAAGGAGCTGCTGAGGAAAATTAAAATGAAAAAAGAGTCTTACAGAGAGTGGAAGCAATGACAGGCGGCCTGGGAAGAATACAGGGATGTTGTCCGGGAAGCTAGGGACCAGGTTAGGAAACCAAAGCTAAGGCCCAGTTAGAATTAAACTTGGCTAGGGATATCAAGGATAACAG